CCCCCAGTATTAGGATACTGGTGCCTCCCCAGTATTAGGAGGCACCCAGTTGCCTGTGTCTCCAGTCTTTGAATAGTCTCCTTCAGGGCAGACACCAGCTTACAGTTGGTGCAGATGAAGTGCTCTTGATCATCTGAGAGGAACACAAATGTAGCACATCCCACACAGGCCAACAGCTCACCGACTCCATTTGTGTCTCCTTTGCTCCTTGGAGAACACCCACGCTGGAAGGAGACAGAAGTAGAGGGGGAGGGAACAGGGAAATAAGACATGTCACAAGAACCTGCATGTCAAATACTTGCACCAGGGCTCTTGCACACATGCACGCAGGCACAGTGTCCTGCTCCCTGGCTCGCTCCTGGGGTGAATGCCTTAAGCAAACTCCCTCTCTTTTTGCTGCCCTCTGCTTGCTGCTCCCACGGGTTGCTTTTTATAAGGCTGCCTATCCTAGCTTCACCCCTCAATTACCTAAACCAGAGTACGCTTTGTCACTCAGTTGCTCCAGAAGGGGGGAGAAAAGAAAAGAACAAAAAAGAGAGAAGGAAAAAAAAAGAAAAGGACCCACCCCTCCAAATCCCCAAACACACACGCCAGGCACTAGTCAAACACGCCCATCAGCCACCCTAAGTTCCTAGCACAGAGAAAGGCTTCTTCATGGCAATCCCATATCTGAGCAGCTTATCCCAGAGGGAACTGCTCTCTGCTTACTGTTCAGCAGTTATATTTATAAAAGTTATTTTTCTGTTTGTCAGAAATAAAGAAAAGTCGGGGGGGGGGGGGGTTCATTGTAAGTGCATGGAAATAATACTAGCTGTGAAGCCTATGAATTGACAAGTTTGACAAATGGCTGGAGCTAGCCTGTTACACCCAGGCTTCATGTCCAACTATTATGGAATGCACTGATAGAACGAGATTTAGATAAGACTTTTTATGGAAAATGACCTTATAATACCTCTGCTGCACTATAGGATAACTCCCTCATCAGAGGAAACCCGGGGTATGGGTTGACAGGTAAGAACACTAGCAAACAGAGATAGCCCTTTCTACTAAGCAGAGGCTGTGAAGTGTTACATCTACAATTTGCAACTCTCTTCTTTAATGACTGGAACACAGCTCAACTGTGTCTTAATTAAGCTGGATGAAGCTAACAAGTAGGCATGGCGAACTCTTCTCGCAGGATGTAGTTACAAACAAAAATCCTGCACAGTCAAGGTACTTAGTACAGAAGAAAAGGGTATGGCTTGAAACCCAGTTGCATTGCTGTGGGTTTCTCGAAGAAGAAAAACCCTGATCCTGTAAAACTGAAGTGCCTTTATAACAAGAGCATGTTTCACTACCGCCTTAATGAAGGGTGATAGTAGTGTCATTGTCATTTAACACTGCCAGTTTAAACTTCTACCTGTGTTGACAGATGCTCTGAATAACCAGGCTCTGCACAGTGAAGGTCTGGAGGAGCTGGGATCAAATGCCTTCTCTTGTAATAGTCTCTGTCTCTCTCTCTGCCCCCGTTCTCACTCCAAGCTGGAGATTTGGGAACAGATCTGCTGTGCAGGCATTATTGAAGACACTGTATATAGGAAATGAATTGCTAATGGTTTATACAGTCATGGGTATACTTGCCCTATTGGCATCATATGGGGAGGCCCAATGGTGTGATGCTCTGAAATATACAAAGATTGTGAACGTATCCGGAAACCTTCCGAAATTTTGTTTTCTGAGAATCATATACAGTTAATGTGGCTAAGGAGCTCTATTCTGGGTAGGAAAAAACTACGTCCAATGTTTTTTCTTTAAAAACCTGAGTCTTCTACTGAACAAACCATATTTATGTAGTTCTGCTAGATGCCTCCATCATAAGTATAAATGTGTTTACACGTGGATCTGAGCAGACCTTGTGCAACTGCAAGGTTGAAATGCCCAAACTGCCATCTAACTATCTAATCTATACACAAAGTAATTATGTGTTAATTGTAATATTTAGCTAAATGTCTACAGTTGAAATAACTCATTATTGAAAATGGATTGCTGAAATCATGGTGCTCAGATGTGTGTGCTGTAATCTAGAAATTAGTAGTTCTCAGTCATTTTGCCTGTGTAGATTTATAATACCTTGAAGAAGTGCAAGGATAGAAAATAAGCCGTATACTAGTTGAAAAATGCGTGAGGGAAATGAAGTGCTGCCTAATTTTAATGGTTAGAAATTGGCTTTTTGATATTTAATCACGACTAAGCAGGATTACTTTGAGGAAAAGCCTGTCACCATTCTTTTATAATGCTATTCATTCTGATTTGCTTCATATAAAGCAACCAGCATCAAATTAGCTACAGCACACCCACACAAGTCTGATGTTGTTTGTGGAAGAATACATTTTCTTCCTTTTGCAAACAGGTATAATTTAGAAAGTGCCAACATCCTAGTAGAGTAATAGACAGGCAGTTCTCAATTTACTAGTCTCTATTTATTGTGGTTTTTTCTTTTTTTTTTTTTTTTTTTTTTTTGCAGATCTATTCTGAAGATGTATTGGCAAAAAGTTTTGACAGTGTTTCTGCACTTGGGTAAGTTACCAGGGCACTGACTCTGTCATTATGTTTGTTTTTGAATACTTGTATTCCCCTGGCTATTGACTTGATGAATAAAAAACTTGTTTCTGAAATATTAGGTATCATTTTTATTTGCAGTGTTCAAGAGAACAAGTTTTAGACCAAGACTCCATTGTGTTAGATGCCACACAAATACAGAACAAATCCTAAACGCCTGTATTTCTCATGTAGCATTTAAGGGATTTCATAGTTTCATAGTTGGTAGGGTCGGAAGGGACCTGAGCAGATCATCAAGTCCGACCCC